CTGTAGGTGATCTGGATGTCTGTTTTTGAGGCTTGTCTAAGTGTCTTCTCATTTCCAAGGGGGGGGGGGGTGCTTCTGGCTGCGGCTCACCTCCTCTGCCCTAGGCGCGTGGGATGGCTGCAGGGGAGCTTCCTTCCGAGGCTGAATCTTCATTTTTGAGATGAAGAAACTAAGGCTAAGAAAGATTCTGAAATTTGCAATTAATAACTACTAGAGCCAGAATCTTAATTTAGAGTGCTATGCAAACCAGCAGAATGTTTCTTTTCATTTTTAAGTAAATAGGAGTTGAAACTGGAATTGCCATTCCATATAAAAGATAGAAACAGAGAGCAAAGGACATGCTAAAGAAGATCTAGTTTTTGTTTTGGGTACTGGGGATTGAACTCAGGGCCTTGAGCTTACAAGGCAGGCGGTGGATCTAGTTTTTTTGTGGGTTTGTGTTTTTTTTTGGTACTGGGGATCGAACTTGGGACCTTGTACTTGCGAGGCAGGCAGAGGCACCACTGAGCTAAATCCCTGGCCCGATCTAGTTTTTATTTTAAACATCAAGAATGTAATAGATGATTAGCTACATGGTCATGTGTTTTCTCGATCACTGTTTGCAATTTACATAAAACTCACCCAGTTCTCCAAAGTTAACTTGCCACTTACTTGTATGTAAAGAAAACTTACTTTTTGTTCACTTAGAATATTGTAAAGAATTACAGTGATGCCTCAGCATTTGCTGTTAGTTGGTTCTGGGAAGCGCCATGAGTACCAGTCACCAAGTACCCAACAAATTATTTTGAATGGAAAGGGAAGTGAGTAACTAGGCAGTCAGCACTGTCGAGTTCTAGCTTGTATGTCAAGTTCCAAGTGATGAGTACCAGGACAAGTTTTTGTGTTAAAATATGAGCACCAATTTTGGTGTGTTTCAAAGCAGTCGAGTGCTAAGGTATAAATGTATGTAATTCTCTGATTTCTTTCAGAAAAGAAGAGAAGAGAGCACTAGACTAAAGGAAGAAGGAAATGAACAATTTAAGAAAGGGGGTAAGATAACTTTTAGCTCTGATGTCTGGTTGTTTTGATTCTTACATTGTTTTAGAGTCTATGAAAACATAGCAAAGAACATTTGGAAACAACTGGCGAACTTGAGCTCTTCCCAAAACATTGTTGCGTTGATAGCTGGAATTTTGTCTTTTTACCAGCTCCAAATCATTCTCAGCTGGCAGTGCTCAGTTACCATATGTCTCTGTGGCACAAGCATAGTTGTTTTGTTTTGTTTCTTTTATCAGTCCACAAATCAGAGGTAAAACTCTTTGGCTATTACTTTGGAAAACACTAACCTTACAGTATCTCTGTGAAAGAAGAGTCTGCGTTTCTCACATGCTGCAGTGCTGTGAAAATGGGCCCAGCCACTCCAGCCTAGAAAAGTACTTGTTCTTGATTGAGATTTTTTTTTTTTTGGCAGTGTTAAAGCTGTTAGCTTTTAGTTGTTACAACAAAATACTTGAGGCAGGCTAATTTGATAAAGAAAAGAGTTTATTTAGCTCTCAATTTGGGATTGTGAATATGCAAAGAACATCGTGGTTCTCAGGTGAGTGCCCCATGGTGGATAGAGGGAATCTGTGCAAGAGGAACTGACTACATCTCAAAATAGGAAGCTAGAGAGAGAGACTCTGGGGTAAGGCTCCAGCTACTATAACAACTCACTGTCCTAAGGACTCACTGCAGGGGACCCGTGTTTCCATTCCAGGACGGCTCCTCTGGGGACCTGAGGGCTGCATCTTAGAGGTTCCACTTCCAAGTATCCCATGCTGAAGACTGGAGCTCCTGACAGTGAGACTTTGGAGGAAGAAACTACATTCAAATTGTAACAGATGCCTTAGCTAGCGGGATGTTTTTCATGTCCTTCTGCATTTCCTCCATTTACTTAGCAGTAGGTTGAGGTTCATTCCAATAATTTAGAGAAAGTACTGCATTGATCTTATAACAGCCTTCTGTCACGTCTCAAAGTGGATGCGCTTTAGAAATCTTAGGAGTGTTAACATTTTCCCCCAGTTATTTTTAGCTTTGCTTTTTTTTTTTTCTTGTATCCTGATTTGGCAGTCTTCACTTCTTTTTTTTCTAATAGAGCTAATGGTTCTAATGGTGTGCTAGTATTAAATGTTTTAAATCCAAGAAAGGAGTGAATAGACAATATTTTCTTAGTATCCAGACTATAAGTGTATATAATGATCAATATATTAATGATCATGTATTTTCTCTTTTAAGCTCTTCAAGTATTAGTTTTTAGGTATTTCAGCTCCACAATGTATCTCTACAAATGTTTCATGGGTACAGTTTTAGTCAGAGTGACTCTCTGAAAGCATGAACATATATACATAGGGTTTTTTTCCCCCTCCACTCCTGGGTCTTGAAAGTAGGGCCTTGCACACACCAGACAATTGGTTTACCACTGAGCTACACCCCTGGCCCTAGAATTTTTTTTCTTTATCCTGAGTCGTGGATCCCATTCTGTAGCTTCTTTCACTGTCCAGTTCCTTGACCCCTCTGAAAACTCCCTTCTTAACTGCTAACCCACATGAAAGCTGAGCATCTAGGGCAGTGGTGGTGAACCTATGGCACGCATTCTGCAGCCAGCTATTCATCATTGAAAGCTCTGAAAGGTCCGCCATCTCTGCTCTAGAGTGTGCTATGCGCATGCATCATGCACTTTCCGCTGGCAGCACGTTCAGCTGTCGTTTCTCACATGCCCTGTGAGACCACCCGAAGAAGTACTGTTTCTGTGGAGAGAGAAGGGAGAAAGCATTTGAAACCTTTTGCCTTGAGAATGGAAAGCTGTGCATTTTGAGATTCTGTGGAACACAGCAGTGTCAGAAATAAAATACTGACTGCTCGCTCTACCTTATCATCCTTAGATTATGTAGAAGCTGAAAGTTCCTACAGTCGAGCCCTTCAGATGTGCCCGTCATGCTTCCAGAAAGAGAGATCTGTCCTGTTTTCAAATAGAGCTGCTGCAAGAATGAAACAGGTTTGAATCTTTGTCCTTTTCTTTTTAAAAAGCATGTGATCTTGCAGTGTTCTTAGTGTAGTTTCTTTCCAAAAATGAGCATCGGGGCTTGACGTTTTCTGTTTTTCTTTTCCTATATGTGTATTTCCCTGATATAAAGGCTGCAAGGAGAATAGAAGAATATTTTGGACTGCTGTTAACCTTCCTCATTAAAGTAGTGGAGTGAATGCTTGCATGGAAGGAAGGCTGACAAGTTTCCACTGAACGAGGGCAGGTTATTGAAGCACAGAGCCAAGTAGTACATGTCCAAGAATAGTGACAGCTGCTTATTTTAGGCCTCTGGAATTCTAGATAAAGACTCACAGGCACAGGGAAATACTGGTTAAAACTCTAGACTTAAAGATACTTAGTCCCAAGACTGCGTTTTCTGTGAAAATTCAAACACTGAGAGAAATATCCAGTAGTTAGAATGAAAGACTCTCTTAAATGCAAAGTAGGTATCAGGGAAAGTTCAAAAGCTCTTTGCACGTCCAAAAGATTGAGAACTGGTAGAGGGTGAATGTAGCTTAGGCAAGAGTAGAAATACATTTGTTTTATACAGTTTTGATACTAATAATGAAATTTGTTGCCAATGGGTCTTACTTTCTTATCTAGTCAATTTAGTTAGTATAGCTATATTTAAATGAAAAGAGTATTTTTAAAGAAAGCACTGCCATTTGTTTAGCTATCGCTACCTACATCCAGAATAGCTACCTATTCTTCAGTGGGTAGGTTATCTAACATACATTCAAGCAACCACAAAGCTGGCTCAAGATAGGTGAAAGTGGGTTTTTGTGGTTTGTATGTTTAGATCAGGTATTTACCATCACTTTTTGATAGTGCTTGAAATCCTCAAGTGCTTCCACTGAAGTCAATTTGGGTGACCAAGTGTTTTTGTTTTAAAGACCCTAGGGAGAGGAGCAGAATGTGCGCTTGAATGGTTGGACATACAAAAAGGTTTGGTTTTGTTTTTTGTTTTTTTTGGTACTGGGGATCAAACTCAGGACCTTGAGCTTGTGAGGCAGGTGGCGGAACCACTGAGCTAGATCCCCGGCCCAAAAAGCTTTTGTTTTTAACTGGAACTTATATAACTGGATTTGGTCTCCAAGGTGAAGTATTTTTGGAGTTTTTGATGTTGCAAGAAAGAAGAAATAATTTTACAAAATTTATAGACCAACATTTTGTAATAGGAAAAATGAAACAATTATTTTAAGTTTATTTTAGATTGTATTTGTGCCAGGCATGGGGGCAGTGGCTTGGGAGTCTGAGGCAAGAGGATTGCAAATGGGAGGCTGGCCTGGGCATGGATGGGACCCTGTCTCCAAATTTTAAAAGGGAGTGGGGGTTGCGGCTCAGTGGTTGAGCCCATCTACAAGGTCCTAGGTTCAATTCTCAGCACTGCAAAAAGAAATTTTTTTTAATTTAAAAAAAATCTGGGCTGGGGCTGGGGGTTTTGAGCTCAGTGGTTCCACCACCTGCACCGCAAGTGCAAGGACCCAAGTTCTATCTCTGGTACCAAAAAAAAAAAAACTTTTTTAATCTATTAATTAATATCCTACCAGTGATCAGAATTTACATCTTAACAGTTTTTATACATAGCTTAAAAATTCTAATAATTTCGCATCTGCTTCTTCATCTCGCCAAGTTGCCAGACTGGACACTGATGCTGTAAAGTGTGATTGAGGGCACCTTCTTTGACAGAGAAAATGCACAGCATACACTTGGCTCCTATGGGTTTGGGGTTCTTTATTTCCCCAGTAGTGTAAGTTAGCGATACTTCCAGGCTTGGCCTATCCATTACAGACTTTTTCTGATATTTGCTTGAGTTGGGGTCTCACTATGCAGCCCAGGTTGGCCTCAAACTTGGCGATCTTCTTGCCTCCTCCTCATGAGCTCAGTGTATTCCACCGTGCCTGGCAGCTAGTTCTCGAGTTAGGAAAACTTATGGTTATGGTAGTCTTTAGTCTGTGAACTTGAGAGTTCAAAAGAGCATTGCTCTGTTGTTTCCTATGCAAAAGATTTGTCAGTATGACTTTTTGGTTTTTATGTTGCACTTTTGATACTTAAAGATCTTAACAGACTAGAAAGCTGCCAAGATTAGTACCTTTATAAAATTAAAGGAGCATGTTCTGTATTTCCCAAGAACATGATGGGTGAACTACTGAAGTACAGTTTCAGAAAGATAGGTTAGCATGCTCAACATCCCTGACTGAATGCCCCTGGCCAGACTTTATATTTTATATTTGAGGATGGAAAAAGCAAACCTGAGTTAGAGCAGTTCCAGTTCTAGGTCTAGTTAGCTATGTAAGAGCAGGCAAATCCCCAAAAGAATAGAGTATTAGAAACAGAAAAGGTGCCGGGCGTAGTGACGTATATCCCAGCACTCAGGAGGCTAAGGCAGGAGGATCACCACGAGTTCAAGGCCAGTCTGGACTACATAGACCCTGTCAAAAAAACAAAAATAAGGGGCCAGGGATTTAGCTCAGTGGCTTCACCGCCTGCTGTATAAGCACAAGGACCCGAGTTCGATCCCCAATTCCAAAAAAAAAAATAAAGTACAGGGAAGAAACCTAAAATAAAATAAATAAAAACAGAAAGGAGGGCAAATGCAGTGGTGCATATCTGTAATCCCAGCTAACTCAGGAGTCTGAGGCAGGAGGATCACAAGGTTAAGCCCAGCCCATGCAACTTAGAGACCCTGTCTCAAAATTTTAAAAAATTTGAAAGGACTGGGGATGTAGCTCAGTGCAGAGTCCCTGGATTTATTCCCCAGACTGGGAAGAAAAAGAAAGAAGAGGCTGGGGATTTACCTCAATGGTTTCAACCATCTGCTGCGCAAGCACAAGGACCCGAGTTTGATCCCCAGTACCAAAAAAAAAAAAAGAGTGTACTGGAAAAAGAAGAGGAGGAAGCTTTAAATGTTTTTAAAGTACTATCTTTATTATGTGCCTTGCCTGACATATATAGATTTTTCTGTCCTCATGTATTATGTACGCTTTTATATAGATTGATGTAGATTTATACATATATACAAGTAAACTGTGGAAGGATAATAAAGGTCCTGTTGGAGACCAGCACTGTACACGCGGACAGGACCTGGGTCCCCTGAGGTGTTAGTGTGCTGTGAGCCCTCAACAGAGAGTTCTGCAGGGAAATGGCCTCTACCTGAAGAGCCCAGCCGATGCAAAGATGCACTACAACTCCGTAGTAGCTTTTAGGGGCATAAAAAGATCCACTACAACAGGTGTACACGTTAATTATTAAGGTTTATTATTCCTGTTTCAGAAACTATGAAATTATATATCTTCAGATATATAATACAGAAATCTGATAATTTGGAGAAATACTGACAAATAAAGTTGTACAAATTCCTCTACTACAGGACCTCTTAGAGCTTTTCAGTCTGCTCTTTTTTTTTTTTTTTGTACCGGGGATCGAACTCGGGTCCTTGCACTTGCAAGGCAGGCGGCAGAACCACTGAGCTAAATCCCCGGCACTCTTAGAGCTTTTAATGTGTGAATTGGTATGGTGAACATTGGAAGACAAATAATTAGTGTCTCCCAATGACCCTAGAAATTTTTGAGGTTTGTTTTTATACTAAAATACACATAACATGGGTGGGGATTTAGCTCAGTGGTTCCGCCGCCTGCCTTGCAAGCGGGAAGTCCCGAGTTCAATCCCTGGTACCAAAAAATAAAATAAAATACACATAACATAAAATTGACCACTCTAACCATTTTAAGGCACACAATTCAGTAACATTAAATGCTTGTTGATGCGTCCACGTTTCCCCAGCACTAAAGAGGCTAAAGCAGGAAGTTCAAGGCCAGCCTGGACATTGTAGTGAGACCACATGTAAATGTCCCAGTTCACCAAGATGAGTGTAACTAATTATGTATCACAGACATAGAAAAATCCATTAGAAAAAAAACTAGAACTTTCACAGTATTAGGCGACCATCACTACTGTCTAGTTCCAGAACTTTTCCATAACCCTAAAAGATACCTCAAACTTAATAAGTAGTCCCTCACCATCCTGAAACCAGAACTGTTTTTGATTGAATCCTGAAACAGAATTTAGTGGCTTTGCTCTAAAATATTCTGCAAAATATTTAGTATTTGCAATAAGTTTATGGGAGTATTGAACATTTATTTGAACAAACTTATTTTTATATAATGTAAAAAACTTCTAATTTGTATAAACAGATATTTTAGAGCTGAAGAGTTCTCATGTAGCATTCAGTCTAGCTGTTCATATTTCAGGTGAGAAACTGGGCCCGAGAAGGGAGCTGGGACGGCCAGCAGTAAGCAGTGGGTAGTGCCAGAGCCGAGCCAGATTCCAGTTCTTCTGACATCCAGTGTTCCTGCTACTGTGCTGTGTTTCCACACTCAGCAAGTTCAGTTAGGGAGAGATTTTATTTGGTGAATTGTTAGCATTTTTGTCTCATCGGTGGATAAGTTGATGTTCATAACCGAGACTACATGACATGCTGTACTGGCTGTAGGTGGACCATCTATGTGTATGCTTTCTGGAAGATTCCACATTATGTGTAGTATAACAAGTAGCCAAAGAGGAGGGTAACTAATCTATGTCTCCATATATCAGCTGTTCTGTTTATTGCTCACAGAGTTTTCTCAGTGTCCACATTCTAATGTAACAGGTCTTAAAAAATGTAATAAGTCAGAGCGGTCTTCAAGGAAAAGAAGCTACTAGAATATTTGTTACCAGGAGGCTTTTAGGTCAGAGTCATTGATTTTGGATTTTATGCATATTTTCATGTGATTTCTTTGAAAAGCATTGTTTTTCCATGAGCAAATTATTTTTTCCATGAGCCATTATTAGGTTAGGTTTTTTTGTTTTGTTTTGTTTTGTTGGTACTAGGGAATGAACTCAGGTCCTTGTGCTTGCGGGGCAGGCGGCGGAACCACTGAGCTAAATCCCCAGCCCTGAGCAATTATTAATGATCATGTCAGTGGGCCTTTGAGCCCTAAGATAAAGCCAGGGTAGTATTATTAATGTTTGCATTCCTTTTAGGACAAGAAGGAGATGGCCATCGGTGACTGCAGCAAAGGTACACCTTTTTTTTTTCTTGCTACCTGTTAATGTTCACGAGCATTACTTCAGCTACGCAGACAACAGGGGCTTTTGGTCAGGGATGCCCAAGAACTTGTGTATCCTTCCTCTTGGGCTTTATAGTTCAGCATTCTCAGATGACCATACAGTAATCATCTTAGAGTAGGCATATGTTTGAATGGATGGTTCAGCCAGTTTCTACTATGTTAGTAAATATGTGAAGAACAATTCAAAGCTATTTCTTTTTTTGCTACATCTATTCTCTTTAATTAAAGGATTACTCAGTGAATTTTAAGTACCTGAAATGCACTAATTTGAAATAAGTATGTATCTATATCAGTTTACAACAGTAAAACTCACATCAAGATACTGAACAATAATCTGACGTGTGAATGGCACATAGTCTCTTACATGTGAAATATCTTGTAATATCCTTATTTTTGCCTAATAGAAATGTTGCTCTCCATTTATGTGACCTAAAGAGTTTCTATGACCTTTAAACCCTTTTAACCTTTGTATCATACAAATGTGAGTATCTCAGATCAGAAATTGATTTTTTTTTTTTTTTTTGGTAACGAGAATTGAACTCTGGACCTTGTGCTTGCGCGGCAGGCACCAGAACCACTGAACTAAATCCCCGGCCCCAGAAATTGACTTTTTTACTCAGTTTGGATTTTATTAGTTGGGAATTTAACCAGTTTATTGAATATTCATGTCTGTCTCTGTTAGTATCTTTTATGCTAATTTAATGCTTCCTTGGTGGTTTTCTTTTGTGCTTTTTACTGGTTTTTCACCTCTTTCAGTTCTGGAAACTTGGAATGTATACATACTATTTTTGTCCACAACTCAAGGACAAATGACTTATATGATCTACCATCTGATGCAGTAATCCCTAATTTTCCCCAATTTAGTATATCAAATGCATCTACCCCTCTCCAACCAATGTTTTAGAAATTTTTTCTTACATTATCAGTATTAATATTATGAACTTGCTGGGGTTTTGGGGGGTTTTTTTTGGTACCAGGGATCGAACTTGGGTCCTTGCGCTTGCGAGGCAGGTGGCGGAACCACTGAGCTAAATCCCTGGCCCACTTGATGGGTTTTTAAGAGAAATAAAACTACCATTTTCCAGTTTTGTCAGATTAACATTTAGAATGTCTTTACCTGTCTTGTCCTGTCCACAGTGACAAAGCACTTTTATCTAACATACATTTGGCTTAACAACATGCATCCATTCCTCTCAACTTTCAAATGCCTGGCCTCTCGCATACTCCTGCTTCATATTCTCTGAGTACTGTCTTCACTTACATGTACGTTACTTTCTCTTTCCTCACCACACTCTGACTGTGTGAGATCATTTACCTCTGTGACTGCCTGCTGTCATTGTATGAGAGTAGTAGAAAACTTCACTAGAACAAGGACTTCATCTTGTTTATCACAGTACCCCTCACATACTAATTAGATACATAGATTAGCTACTAATAACTTTGCTAAAAGCATGACTGAAAGAAAATTAAGGGCATATTATATGAAGAGACAAGAATGTTTTAGAGCCAGGTCACATTGCTATCTAATAGAAAGAGAAGTGGCTAGGGCTGGGGATTTAGCTCAGTGGTTCCGCCGCCTGCCTCGCCAGCGCAAGGACCCGAGTTTGATCCCTGGTACCAAAAAAAAAAAAAAAGAAAAAGAAGTGGCTTAGAAAAGAATGGAAGAAATAGAGTATACTTGAATTAAAACCCAGCAAATGTAGCCAGGCCTGGTGCCACACACCTGTAATCTCAACACTCAGGAGGCTGAAGCAGGAGAATTGCTGTGAGTTTGAGGCCAGCCTAGGCTACATAGCGAGAGTCTATCTCTAAATAAAGGGAAAAAAAACCAACAAAGGATTATTAGGGCAGTTATTTCTAAATGGAAGAAAAGGCCCTTTGCACCCCGACTAAAGGGTACCAAAGCAGTAGTGTGAAGGAACCGTGAGAGGTGAACTAGAAAGCTAACCTTGGTAGTTGAGTCCTAGAAAAGAGAATGCCACCAGTTGGTTTCCTTCAGCTCCGCACACTTCTCTGTCTCATTTGTCCACTGTGCACTTAATCTCAGTGTCTGGCCTGTACTGAACTGGGTAAAAGATAAGTAAACAAAAAGCGGGACTTGGAACACAGCCCAGAGTTGGGCAAATTAAAACCATAAGCCAGGGCTGGGGATTTAGCTCAGTGGCTCTGCTGCTGCCTTGCAAGCTCAAGGACCTGCCCGAGTTTGATCCCTGGTACCAAAAAAAAAACCATAAGCCAAATCCAGCCTGCCACCTGTTATTATACAGTCTACAAGCAAAGAATGATTTTTACATTTTTGAAGATTAGAAATTAAGTCCAAAGAAAAATAGTATTTCTGGGCCCGGGATTTAGCTCAGTGGTTTCGCCACCTGCTGCGCTATCGCAAGGACCCAAGTTTGATCCCTGATACCAAAAAAAAAAAAAAAGAAAAATAATATTTCATGATATGTGAAAATTATTTGAGCCAGGTGTGGTAGTGCATGCCTGTAATCCCAGCACTTGGGAGGCTGAGGCAGGAAGATCTCTGGGAATTCAAGACCAGCCTGGGCTACATAATGAGTTCTAGGCTAGCCTAGACTACATGGCAAGACCCTGTCTCCAAAAAAAAGTTACTTGAAACTCAAATTGCAGTGTCCAGAGGTGAGGTTTTATTGAAACACAGCCCCCTGCATGGTGACAGATGGTCTGTATTTGCCATTGTGTACAGCAGTGCTCGGGTCATTGCAGCAGAGCCTCTGTCTGGCCCACAGATCTTAAAGTCCCTCCTTTGCCCTGTACAGAGAAAAGTCTGCAACCACAGGCACAGGCTTTGACCCTTGGAAGACGGGTGGTGAATGAACCTGATACAGCCCAAGATTTATGGGCCTCTTCTTTTAGTGAAATCATTATTTCTTCTCTTTTTGTAGCAATCCAGTTAAACCCCAGCTACATCCGGGCAATATTGAGGAGAGCAGAGTTGTATGAGAAAACAGACAAACTAGATGAAGCCCTGGAAGACTATAAAACTGTACTAGAAAAGGATCCATCAGTACATCAAGCAAGAGAAGCTTGCACGGTAAAACCTATATTTTTTAAATGTTTTTCTTATACTCTGATAGTGAATCTTAAATAATCCTTTGGGACACAACTAAATTCCACATTTAAGCTTAGCAAAATGTATGGGAGCTCAGTCTTTGAAGTGTTGGCCATAAGCGCACCGTGACCATGTGCGAGTTAACAGACATTCTGAGGGCGGCAGGTGTCACCATAACCCTCCAGGAGGGACCGGAAGTGCCTTTCACCGTTGCTGAGGAAGTCGTATCCACTGTAGTTACAGAGATTGGGTCAGAGTGATTCGTTGCATTATAGGCGGTGCGTTTCTTCCGCTTTCTGCCCATCCTTTCCCTCAGTCAGGCAGCACTCTTCTGTCCTGTCATCATGTGCTCTGCACATTTCCAGCTGAACACATCCTAAGCCTGACCTTGCTTACAATGCCTGTCGTTCTTGTCTTTGGCACTGACAATCTTTTTGCTTCTAAAGCTCATACTTATTTTTATCTCAGGTATAAATTAACTAAATATCATTGATTCCTCACCCATTTAAAAATAACCTCCACATTTATACTTATCTATTCACTTATTTTGCAATGCTGAGAATTGAACCCAAGGCCTTCACACTGAGCTACATCCCCGGCCCTTTTACTTATTATTTTGAGTCAGGATTTTGCTGAGCCACTAAGTTGTCCAAACTAAATTTTAATTTGTGATCCTCCTGCCTCAGCCTCCCAGAGTACTGGAATTGCAGGCATATACCATCACACCTAGCTATATTTTGACTTCTTTTTTTTGTTGTTTTTTTTGGTACCAGAGATTGAACTCAGGACCTTGAGCTTTCGAGGCAGACGCCAGAACCACTGAGCTAAATCCCCGGCTATATTTTGACTTTTATTTTGTTTTGTTTTGTTTTTTTGGTACCGGGGATTGAACTCAGGTCCTTAGCTTGCAAGGCAGGCGGTGGAACCACTGAGCTAAATCCCTGGCCCTATTTTGACTTTTATCACCACTTTTTGATTAACTCTAATTCATAAAGCAACATATATGCAAAATTATGTGCTACAGTGAAATATTTATGTTTTTACCAAAACATAATGGTTTATATGGCTTGTGTTTAGATGTCCCTCCAAAGCCTTATGCATTTATAGGTGGGGCTTTCTCAGAGGTGGCTGAATCTAGAGCATGTGATTGATTCATGGTGCAATGCTAGGATTAAGGGTTTGAGAAATAAGGGTGGGTGATCACTAAATCAGTGCACTGATTGGTTTGGCACCATCCTAATCTCAGTAGCCTGGATACAGTGTGAGGGACAGAAAGAGGCTTGTCTTGCCCTCTTGCTTGCTTTTCTGCCTTCTGCCCATCATGAACTGTTTCTCCTCTGCAATGCCTCTCTGCCATGCCACTCTGCCTTGTTGCCAGCCGACTATGAACTGAAACCATTACAAACTGAACCAAATAAACCTTTCCTCCCTTAACTTTGGATATTGAGTATTTTGTCTCAACAACGAGAAAAGTAACTAGGACAGAATTTGGTACCACAGAAGTGAGGTTGTTGCTGTGACTATACCTGACCATGTGGTTTAGGAGCCTTTTTGACTGGCTTGTGGGAAGGGGAAGGGTTAGCAAAGGTTTGGAGATGCGGGCTGAAAAGACAGAGGTCTAACACCTTAGGCTGGTCTTTTTTTTTTTTTTTTTGTTCCAGGGATTGAACTCTGGACCTTGTGCTTGTGAAGCAGGAGACAGAACCACTGAGCTAAATCCCCAGCCTGTTTGTTTTTTGTTTTCGAGACAGGGTCTCACTATGTAGTCCAGGCTGGCCTTGAACTCACTGTGCAGTCCAGGTTGGCCTCAAACTCACAATGATCCTCTTGTCTCAGCCTCCCCAGTGCTGAGATTACAGGCATGTGCCACCACGCCCGGCACCTTAGGCTGTTCTTGATGGACGATTCTGGTCAGAGCTAAGAAGCCCAGAAAGCTGATAAAAATCCTGCCAGGGCTGGGGATTTAGCTCAGTGCCGCAGGCTGCCTGCCTCGCAAGCACAAGCACAAGGTCCCAAGTTGGATCCTCAGAACAACAAGAACAACAGCAAAAATCCTGCCAGTAAACACCAGGGTTGAGAAGTTTCTGCTGGGAAGAAGGACTGCATTGGCTGCTGGACTCCAGACAGTGTTGTGTTATGACCTGGCAGAAAGTATCTGCATTTTTCTCATGTCCAGGGACTTTGCCTGACACTGAGATTAAAGGTGGACTAATTAATCTTGTAGAAGAAATTTCAAGGCAGTATAATGTTGAGGTGGTGGCATGGCTACTGTTGGGAGCTGTTAGCCAGATTTATATTGAGAGTCAAGACCAAAGAGCCCAGCAGAATGATTTAAAATGCTGTGAATTTGGCCAGAAAGGAAGCTTTAGTAAAATTGTGCCTACAAAGATGGAACAGAGGAGAAGTTGGTTCCTGAAAAGACCAGCAAGAAAAAGCCAAGTATTTCAAAAGAAGACAACAGAAATGATGGCCTGCGGACATAACAGGAACCAGTAGGACTCCAACATTTACAGCCTTGGAGTTGCAAAGGTGAATGACTGCTTTGTGAAGAGAGCCCCAGAGCACCATGTTCCAGAGTGGCAGCAGCCTAGAGAGGTTATTCCACCAGATTTGATTCATAGGCACTCAACCCCTACAGCCCCAAGAGAGAAGGAAGCCTGGCTACTGCTCCAGTGGGTGGCAGACCTTGACGTCGTCCACCTGATGCTGGTTTTAGGCACATGCAGAATGCAAGAGTTGTGGAGTCAGGAAGGCTTCCACCCAGGTTTCAGAAGAAGACCTAGGAGTCCAGGCAGTGTGCCCCTGAGAGGACAGTGTGTGAAGCTGTGAGTGTGAAGCCGAAGGTGCAGTGGAGACCCCAGAAGTTTGGAGAAGCCAGGAACGTGGATCTTCTGAGGAAAACTGCAAGGAGGGAGCAGAGCTGGCCCAAGAGAGAAGCCATGGAAGCCACAACCACAGGCAGTGCCATAGGGGTGGAGCCACCCAAGCCTTTTGGAGTTCACAGATTGCCTTAACACTTTATAGAGGTTTCATCCATAGTCAGCTGGCTCCAAGGTAGGGTGGCATAGCAGACAGGCATCGCAGAGAGGAAGCAGTTCATGGCGAACAGTTTGTGACCAGAATCATGGAAAGAATTAAGTTGGTGAACCGAGGCACCAGTGTTTGTTTTTCCCTTTAATGGAATCATACATATGTACCCAAGCTAATCTTTGTACATTAAGTTTCTTTGGGGTTTTTTGAGGTCTTTATTTTGTTTATTTTTTAATAAATTTTATTTTATCCCATTTCCCCCCTTAGCCCCCTTGTACATTAGCTTTTAAATATTTCAAAAATTAAAAATAAGCCAGGCGTGGTGGCACAGGCCTGTAATCCCAGCACTCGGGAGCCTGAGGTGGGAGGATCACTGGGAGTTCTAGGCCAGCCTGGGCTACAAAGTGAGTTCAGGGCCAGCCTGAACTACAAAGGGAGACCCTGCCTCAAAAAAACAAACAAACAAAAAATCAAAATGAAGACAAAGAATTTTTCACCAATCCTTGTTTCTGCTTTTCCCTCAGCGATTGCCTAAGCAAATTGAAGAACGTAATGAAAGGCTAAAAGAAGAGATGTTAGGTAAGTTTGCTCTCCTTACTTTCGCTTGACCATAAACACTTCAGAAACCAGCGTGGAGGCCTTAGTGCTTTTACTTACTAGAAGAGAACACAAGACTTCAAATACTTGTTCGTCTATTTTTGGTACCAGGGATTGAACTCAGGACCTTGTGCTTTCGAGGCAGGCACAGTGCCACTGAGCTAGATCCCAGGCCCAGTTCAGATAGTTTTGAGACCCTTCCTTTGCTGTGTGTGGCAGTACTGGGGGCCAGTGACTGTTTTTTTAACCATTTTTCTCTAGAAAGAGCAGTGAAGGGCTGGGGATTTAGCTCCGTGGTTTCGCTGCCTGCTGTACAAGCACAAGGACCTGAGTTCAATCCCCAGTACCAAAAAAAAAAAAAAATAGAGCAGTGTGATTTAGAGAGGGTATCAGCTTTTTCAGAAACCAAATTTCCATTGTCTTTCCTAGAAATTTTTTCTTACTTTAAAGAATGCAAACATAGGGCTTGGGATTTAGCTGAGTGGTTCTGGTTCCTGCCTCACAAGCTGAGGACCCGAGTTCGATCCCCGGTACCAAAAAAAAACCCAAAAGAATGCAAACATAGGCCCGGGGATTTAGCTGAGTGGTGCTGTGCCTGCCTTGCACTCTCAAGGTGTGCGTTCAATCCCCGGTACCGCAAAAAAAAACCCAAACAAACACAGTTCCCAAGCTGGAGTAGCACCAAACTCTGTTTCCAACAATTTCATAAAACAGTTGCGTGTCTGCACGGAGTAACCCTAAGGTTGTAAGTGTACTGTACTCAGATTCGGTCAACAGAGCTGATGGCATCAGAATTGAGGGCATTTCTGTTTCAAAAATGGCACTGATGCTGGGGAATTAGCTCAGTGGGTCCACCGCCTCGCAAGCGCAAGAACCTGAGTTCGATCTCCGGTACCGAAAAAAAACAAAAACAAAAATGGCACTGAGGTTCCCCTTAGTGTTTGAGAAGACATCAGAGGCCAGAAATAGGAGTAAATAGTAAGAGGGGACAAAGAGAATAGGAGAAGTGGATTCATTTGACCAGTTACTTAATTCTCTTGTTTATCTGCCAAAGCATTTCATAGTTAGAGTCAGAAACCCTCTCATAAACAGGCTGCTTGAGGAGGAGTGAGGTTCCAGGACAGAGACATAACAGACTCTGTTTAAGCTGCCTGATATTTTCCTGCTTTTGTTTTGTTTAGTCTTGTTTGAGACAGGACTATGTAGTTCACAATGGCCTTGAATTCACTATGTAAGCCAGGCTGGCCTCAAATTTGTAGTGATTCTCCTGCCTCAGCCTCCCAAGTGCTGGGATCACAGGTGTGTGTCACCACGCCCAGCTTTTCTAAATCTATGTTAAATGAATTATATTCAGTGTATTACAATCACATGGGCCCAAAGGAAAAATCAATTAAAATACATTGACCCTTGTCATTTATGCTTTGGCACCAGTATGCAGAGAAGGAAGACAAATTTCCCAAAGAATCCTTCCAGCAGAGTTGACTGAGCAGAAGCTGCTAACCTAGACTGTCTAGAGCCTCCTGGCCCTGCCAGGTCGCCTCAAGACTCCAGAGAGAACTGCTTACATTCAGGCTATTTCTGGAGCCTTGCCCAGTTTTTCTAAAAAAGGTTTTTTTCCTGATTTACATATCTAATTAAACTTGACACCATGTTTGAGCAGAAAAATTATTTAAGAGTAATTTTCATCAAAGAAGGGGGAAAAGAGCATTGTCTTAACTATTTCACTTAATGATGCTTTATTTTAGCAAAACACTAAAAAGAGAAGAAACATGTAACTGAACTGAATTTCATGCTGAGTTCACTTTGTGAATGGCCATAATGGACTTAATGATTTTTCTCTCAGGCGTTGGTCTCTAAGATGTTTGTGAGTGAGTGAGAGGATCTCGATATGTAGTCCAGGCTGGCCTTGAAGTCAGACTCCTATGTTCAGGCTGACCTCGGATTCATGGTGATCCTCCTGCCTCAACCTTCTGAGTGCTAGGATTACAGAGGGGAGACACCACACCCAGCTTTAGGTCCATTTATGTATGTATGTATGTATGTATGTATTTATTTATTTATTGGTACTGGGGATCTAACTCTGGTCCTTGTGCCTGCAAGGCAGGCAGCAGAACCACTGAGCTAATTCCCCAGCCCTTTTGGTCCTCTGTGTGTGTGTGTGTGTGTGTGTGTGTGTGTGTGTGTGTGCGCACGTGTGTGTATGTTTTGGGGTTTTTTTGGTACCGGAGATTGAACTCAGGACCTTGCACTTTTGAGGCAGGCGCCGGAACCACTGAGCTAAATCCCCAGCCCATGGTCCATTTTTTGGAGCAATCTAAAACCATAAAGGACTAGGCATGGTGGTGCATGCCTGTAATCCCAGCACTTAGGAGGCTGAGGCAGGAGGATCGCCATGAATTCAAGGCCACCCTGGGATACAAGTCAATTCAAGACCAGCCTGGATCACATAGAGAGACCTTGTCTCAAAAACCAATAAATCAATAAATAAATACACACCATAAAGGAGCTGTTGCTAAATCCATCTTCTTCCCCACTCTCAGTTCCAGATGGAATCAGAACTCCCATCTGTCATTGTCACTCCGCATGCTCAGGAGACAAAGTTTCCTCTCTCCGTGGCTTTGGCCTCCTCCAGAGATGCCACAGACACCGGGCAGGGCATTGCCACATACTCCTACCCTCCTTGCACTAGCACCTGTTGCTGCTTCCCTGCTTGAACCAGTCAGGCATACAGGTGGGACCTGTTCTTAACCCAGTCCAGATTTTCCGCGCATGCCGCCGCCTCCTTCCACCTTCTTGGAATGTATTCCTAATCCCTCAATTCCCAAAGTTGCTTGGATCATTCCTGACCACCAGCAGCCTGATACAGGCATATTCATAAACATAAGGGCGTCATCTTGGGGCTGGGCATACAACTCGGTGGTGGAGCACTTCCTAGCATGTGCCCTGGAGATCTTGGCCTCCATCCCCAGCACTGCTAGAAAGAAAAGAAAAGGAAGAGAAGCAATTTTTTAACCGGCTGACATGAGCACCACATTCAAGGACTACATGTGGAGCTGTGGGAGCTGGGTGGGTGAAATGGCCTGTCCTCTGTCCTTGCAAGATCCAGCGCATTCTTACAGCTGTACTGCTGCCTGGTGTTTTTCTCTGCTCTGCACGTAGGAGGGGGTCCTGACATCACCCCCTTTCTGAGAGTCATAAGACAGACTGAACTGTCACCATCCCTCTTAAAGGCTTCAGCCACACGTGGGCAGGAAAATGCAGTCCTGTCTCGCTCACTTGCTTGCTCTCTCTTCTCTTCATGCCGCCCTGCCTAGCATTCTTCACTGCACACTGTGTACTTGGCAAGATTTCATGCTGTGGCCACATTAGGGTCTCTGAAACAGTTCCTTATATTCGCTGCCTTTGTTCTCCCATTAGGAAATATCAATACGCTCTCAGTGCCCCATTTATTTCACTCTTCCTCCTTTGACAGTTCTTGGAAAGGCTTATGTCAGCCTCTACTTTCATCCCAGAACTAAAAAAAAGAAATTGAATTGGGCAGGAGTTTTATCTTCGTGCTTTGTGTTCGTTTAATTTGCCTTCGCTCAGAGGAAAGCGACAGTTAGCTGCATGGCGTATTTCCTGCCTCATTAGAGGAAACTCAGTATTAGGGTTCCATTGTATGCACTTTGGTTCTTCTAAGTAGAGAAGGTCCCAAAGGGGCTGTGCCATTGTGCTGAAACTCTGTGCTCTTAAGGAGACAAAAACAAATGGCATTCCTAGTTATCCTCAGGGTAAACCGCCTTGTGCAGTTGGTGTCTCCAAAGAAATTATGCGAAACGGGTCTGTTGGGTTACTGTGATACAGTGTTGCCTGGAGGCAAAGAAATTAATACTGATCAGACCTGGATCCGATGGGGAGCACTGGTCTCCAGCTCCAAACAGTCTTGTCTGAGCACAAGCGGTTCGGGGCTGGTCTCTCTCCCTAGTCCAGTGGGTAGGGTGCTAGCAGTGAGAGACATGCTGGTGCATGCAGCTGAGTGAAGGTGCCAGGTTTGCTATTAGAGAAAACAAGGAAGCCCAGAGATCATTGTCCAGACAGGGAAGGCATCAGATTTGGCAGCTGGTGGAAAGTGTAGTGGATCAGCTACTTTGCTAGAGGGTCCTGTTTGGAGTAGATGAAAGCTGCTTCAGTCTCTGAGCACCTAGCCTGACTCTGAACGAGAGGCAGGAGAATTGCTGATCTCCACCAAAAGTTGCTGCTTATTTGCTGCCATAATGACAAAAGGCAAAAGGTGAGTTTTTCACAGCATACTGTTTGGCTGTGTTCGTGATCCACTGGCCGTGGTGGTTTCAGGGGTTCTTCATGCAGCATTATGAAAATGTTTGTTCACTGAATAAATGGCCTTGTCCATAATGCTATGCTAATTTTGCAACTGCCAGAGGCACCCTGGGCTCTCCCTTTCTGATCCATTCTTCACATTGCCATAGATTATTCCCTCTGAAAGCTCAGTTCTCAAGACCTCAGTGGCCTCCTGTGGCATGAGAGCCATAGGCCCCTGGCCTGGCTCAGGAGAGCAGTAGGATATGCCCTCCTTCCTACCTGTCCACCCCTCCCTGTCAGGTGGTTGCAGTCCTCCCTGTCCTTTGCTGCCTGTTTCAAATTCAGTTCTTCCACAGAGATTGCACAAGATTGCAGTTCTCTCTTCCCTCCCTACTCAGGCCATCTGCCGTAGCATTTAATATCTCATATGAACTTGCTCTTGTGTGTGTGTTCTCTTCCATTCACATTCTAAAGTGGCTTGGCTATGTACACTGTGTCATGTGTCTTTCATCCCCCCACACAAGGCAGAGCCTCACATGTACTGAGTACGCTGTGGGGAATTAGCTCAAGTCAGTTGATCTCAGGTCTTCTCTCCTGTGGAGACTGGTTAGTCATTGTCCCTATTAGATCCTGCTACCTGCCGGCCACTTTGTGTACATCATCTCATTTAGTAATCTGAACTTCCTGTTGTGTCTTCTGTTCTGGAAACAAAAGTTGTGGAATGTGTGCAGCCAGTGATGCTGCATTTGAAGGGAGAATGATACCATGTGTGTTAAGTCTGGGTTGTCCACAAAACAAGCCACTGCAGAAGGACAGGAGGTTTATTGAGGGAAGCACCTGTGAGGGGAAATAAGGCTAGAATGAGAGGAGGCCGGAGAGCTGTCAGCCCCCTTGTGGAAGGAAGGTTAGGGTAGGGAGGAAAACTCTTCCACTGCAGTTTCAGCAAAGCCATCAGAGCCTGCGTTCATGGGAGTCCTGGTCCGTCCCTGCCATGTCCAGGTGGCCCATAGGAGGGGGAGCTCAGTGTGTACCTGCCAATAGATTCTGGACTGCAGCCACTAGGTCCTCTGCATTTGAAAAAGCTCACTTTCATGACCCACACTGGAGAGTCATCCAGGCTGAGTTCAAAGAAAGGCTCCTTGTGCAGACGGCTCCTTCCGCCAGTAACACAAAGGACGGACCTAGGGAGGAAAGCTCTCCCTCTGTCTGTTGTTTGAATGCATGCCCTCTTCGCTTGGAAGAATCTTTGTTCACTTGCACCCACTCATCCCTGTTCTTGAGGGATAAGGGGGACAGAGCGGGATAACTGGGAACTGAACCCAGGGCCTTTGCACATCTCCGGCTCTTTATTTTACGACAGGGTCTTGCTGAGTTGCCAGGGCTGAGCTCGAAGTTCAGTTCCGAATCAGCCTCACAGAGTGCTGGGATTACAGAACTTCCCCACCACACCCAATAAGAAGTGTCCCTTTAATACAGATCCTGGGGACAACACCCCACTGTGCCATTGTCCTGGACTAGCTCGCCGCTCTTCAGTGCTCACAGCTGCACAACTTGCGGCCTCTCTAGGAAGGGTTTCCACACGGTGGGGATCTGCAAGCACCTCCTAGGGCATGCATGGCTCTTGTGTCTTTCTCCCCACAAGGCTGTGGACATCTCAACACCCCTGAACTGCTTTTGTTTTAGATACCGGGGCCTCACTATAACAGACACCAAATAAAATTTGCAGATTGTACTTTAAACTGCTTACAGTTGTGAATTGTGGCCTGGGGCCCTTGAATAGCGGCTTCTTGGAGGTAGAGCTCTCCACCTTGGGAGTCTGATGTAAGTGGTTCCTGAGACTCAGTCTCACTTGGATTACTTTAAATGATTGTTTCCTCCCTGTTCTCTTTTGCCAGCCCCAGGGCAGAGTGCTGGGTCTGTGTTGTTGACAGGCTTCCTGAGGGCTCCTGGCTCAGCTCTGCGTGCTGTGCTTCCCTGCCCAGTCATCCGTTCGTCCATCTGTCCATCCACTGAGGCTGTGCTCCTGGTCTCTGTGCTGCCCTTGTCTGCAGACACCCAAGGCCAGGCCAGTGATGCTTCGAGAGCAGCAGTGCTGAGCCTGTGTGCTCCAGGGCTGTCCCAGGGCCTGGCGCTTTCTCCACAAATGAGTTGGCCAGGGCCGGAGATTTAGCTCAGTGGTTCCGCCGCCTTCCTCGAAAGCGCAAGGTCCCCAGTTCGATCCCCAGTTTGGGGGCTCAGAGTGACAGAAGCTGCTAACAGGAAAGGAAGGTGGAGCTGGGCATGGTGGCTCATCCCTGCAGTCCCAGCGCTCTGGGAGACTGGGGCAGGAGGATCCAAAGTTTGAGCCCAGCCTGGGAACCTAGGAGACCCATCCCAAAATAAAAACAGAAAGGGCTGGAGATGCCACTGGCTCACTGTGAAGGTCTTGCCTGGGTTCCGTTCCCAGTACCACTTACAAAACCAAAAACAGAAGGTGGAAGCAGCCTGTACCTCTGAGGTTTAGGGGGTCTCTTCCCATCTAACCCTATTCTCACCTCCAGGGGAAGCAGACCTGCAAAAATAAATTAAGACAGATTAGAAGGGGTCGAAACTTCCCATTTACTCATCCTAGCCAAAACTGCCTGGAATAGTCAGAATAGTCCATCCCACTGCCTCCCAAATCCCTACAAATCTCTAAAATATTCTGAAAACTATAGCGCTTTTTTTGACATAGAGCCTCACTAAGTTGTCCAGGCTGGACTTGAACTTGTGGTCCTCCTACCTCAGTGTAGGGATTTATAGACGTGGGCTACCATACACAGCTTGAAATCCCAACTTTCAACGTACAAACTTATGTCTTAAAGCAGGATAAGAATCCTTGATTTGGGCCGGGGATTTAGCTCAGTGGTGCTGCCACCTGCCTCAGAAGCTCAAGGTCCTGAGTTCAATCCCCAGTACCACAAAAAAGAAAGAAAGAATCCTTGGTTATAACCATGTCTCTCAGTTTTGACTGTAGGACATGAGGTCACCCAAGTGACAAGTTAAGCCTGGGACTTGGGAAGGGAGCCCTGGGCCATTCAGGTTAGTGGCACTGTGCAGACACACATGATCCCACTTACGGAGAAATGCTAAGTGCATGTGGATGCTGAGGATCTGCTTAGAAAGGCAGAAGGCTCTTGAGTTTGGATCCGGGCTCAGTAGAAATTTGCTAAGTTAGGTTGAATTTAGCCTGTGGCTGCTGATGTTTCCTGGAGAACAGACTTGTTTGGGGGCGCTCTGGTCTCAGCCAGGCTAGCAAGGCTCAGCGGGGCCCCATCACCTCAGCTCCCAGCAGCAGCAGCAGCCTCTGTGTGCTGTGCTGGTTCTGGCCGGTGTGTCAGGAGGCTTTGGTGTCACCGGAGGGGCCAGTAGCACTCGTCACTCACACGCACTGGCACAGGCTCAGGAGACGGCACTGCAGAGTGGGGAGCAGCACCTGCAAAGGCCCCTCGTAGGTTTTGTATTACTAAAGGCGGGCTCTCTGAGTGCAGAGGGTTACTTTTCCTATTCTGTAATCAGACAGGAACACAGATCAGTTGGTATCTTCTTGCTTCTGTTCACCCTGTGTTCATTTGAGTTTTTGCTTTTACTCTGCAGGTAAACTAAAAGATCTTGGGAACTTGGTTCTCCGACCTTTTGGGCTCTCCACAGAAAATTTCCAGATCAAACAAGATTCCTCCACTGGCTCCTACTCCATCAATTTTGTTCAAAATCCAAATAATAATAGATAACAAAGATAACAAGTTTTAAAAGAAATTGTGTACTGCTTGCTGTTCGCAAGGGGGAAGGCCCTGCCAGTGTTTAACTTTCAAAAGCATCTTCTGTAGAGGAACGGCTGCCCCGTAGAGCCTAGTGCCGCCTCTCTGCTCCTATTTATAATCTCCGTGAAGTGTGCTTCTCGTGTCGTGAGCCTCCTCTGGTTTCTACGTTCCAGCGGTGTCTGTGCAGCTCTTACCCTTAGTCCAGGAGGAAGCTCACTTTTCACGGCTGACCTCTGAGCCACACACGCTGCCCGCAGAAGCCTCTCCCTAAGGAGCGAGTTGGGTGACAGCCCCAGCAGGGTCCCCAGCACCCTCTGCCTCCCTGGTCACACCCATGCCGAGGCTGCCGTGCAGGGTCTGTGGCCTTCCCTGCCTCCCCTTGTGTAATAAAAGCTTCTGTGATGGTTTGGGGCTGGGCTGTGCATTTTGTACCCATCGAGACAGATGAGGCGGACGTGCGTGGCTTTGGGAGGTAGTACTGGTTTCAAGCAGGGTTGCTGATCATGAATTTGACAAATCCGTCTGAGACCTTTAGTTGTCTCCTTGAAGATTTTCTTGACCAGAATGTACTAGAATTCAGAAATTGCACCTCACAAACCATCTCAGGCTGGTGCAGATTTGTTCAGATAATTATGAAATCTGTGTTTTCACCAGGACTTAACCCTAACCCTACCCCAGTACTGGGGATTGAACCTAGGGGCACCTGACCACTGAGCTACATCTCCAGCCTGCCCTTAAAATTACAGTCCCCCTGCCTCGATCTTCTGAGTACTTGGGGTTGTGGGTGTGTAGCACCACATCCAGCAACCAACCATCAATCTTAACTTGAGTCACAGTTACTCATTCAGGAGTGACAGTGTGGAAGTCCCAGAAGGAACCGTAGTCTTTAGACCACATGGAGCCAGAGTTTTCTGGGAGCATTGTGTGGTTTGGTTTCTTCCCGGTCATCTGTGGTGCCAGGGTACAGCTTCCCGCTCTGGTTTGGCCGTGCGGCTTTTAGAAGGGTTTTTAGGGGGCCTGCAGCGGTGCTCCCAGTGGCAAGGCTGTGCTCTTGCTCTGCTCCAGGAAGCCGCTGCAGACGCTGGTGGACAAGGCTGTTAGCTCTGATTTGGTACCCAGGCACCCAGACGGAAACACCACTCCTTGTGGGATTTACCTGGGAAGCGGAAAGGACACAGGAGTGTGGTTTGTTTTGCTTTGCTCTATTTATTTATTTTTTTTTTGGTACCAGGGATTGAACTCTATACCTTGCACTTGCAACGCAGGTGCAGTGCCACTGAGCTAAATCCCCAGCCCTGCTTTACTCTCTTCATGTTAAGCCTGGCATCCAGTTTTCCCAGAAAACTGTGTGTGAAAAATCACCCAAGTTGTATAGAAACCTTGGCCAAAGCTGTGTGGTGTTGGGTGCTCCTGTCGGCCAGCCTTCTGCCAAAGCAGTGTGTTTCCAACCCTAATCTTAAACACTCTTGCACAAAATTAAATGGTAGGAGATGTAACTTAGAGGTAGAGGACATGCACAGGGTCCCGGATTTGATCAAAAAATTCCACTTTGTGGGCCAGGCATGGGGGCGCACACCTGTAATCTCTGCCCTCAGGAGGCAGAGGCAGGAGGACCGCTGAGTTCAAGGCCAGCCTGGGCTACATAGTGAGACCTTGTCTCAAAAAACATTTTTTTTCTTAATACGAATAGTTATGAAAATATCTTCCATGACAAAGACATAGTGAGCGGAATGATGAGATTTTATGATGTTGCAAACTTTTTTTCCTTTTGTTTCTTTGTGGCTCTAGGTATCAAACCCAGGAACAGTCTACCACTAAGCTACATCCCCAGTTTTTTTGTTTTTTTTGTTTTTGCAGTACTGAGCTATAGCCCCAACTCCTTTTTTTTTTTTTTTTTTTGTATTTGAGACAGGTTCTTACCCAGTCACCAAGTTGCCCAGGGTGGACTCAAATTTGCAGTCTTCCTGCCTCAGTGTCGCATAGTGCTAGGATTACAGGTTGCTGTTACACTAGGCTTAGTGGGGTGGGGGGGCCCCTTTTTAACTTTGAGTGTATGTTTGCAATACAAAGTAGTTAGGATTGTTTTGGTGAATTGGAATATATTATATATTGTATATACTATATATATTTAAAAATATATGTGTACATATTTTTCCTTGTTTTTGAGATAGAGTTTTTTGCTAACCTGCCTGGGCTGGCCTAAAACTTGAAAGCCTCCTGCCTCAGCCTCCCAAATATCTAGAATTACAGGCATGTGCCACTGTACCTGACTCTTGCATACTTCTTTAATGTGTGGCTTTATAGAAGATTGCAAGATTCTCTTACTGCCTCTGTACTCAAGTTTGTCATGAAACCGTATGTCATGTCTTCCAGGAATTCTTTTTGCTCACAACAGAATGACAGTGAAGAAAGCAAATAGCCCCTTAGCATTATGAAAATAATACATGGGCACCTGAAAGGGTCTGGGGAACCCCTCAGGAGCTGTGAACTACATTCTCAGAACTGCTGTCAGATGAGACTTGACCTCTACGGCTGAGACCCCTGTGCCGAGGAACGAGAGGCCTGGGCCACTGTTGCCACTGGGTGTAGTAGCATCTGTGCTCCAGGCCCACTTTCCTTCTTCCACTGCCAAACTGAAACCTCACCGGGTGTCAAAGGGGGCCCAGCAGTGCCCCTCAAAAGCCAATGAAGGGGTCTCCGTAGGTACCAGTTTGCTTTTATCCAGCACTGTTATTACCCTGCCCCCAAATCTAGAAGGAAACATAGATTCAAACCTTTGTAAATATTTGACCATAGGAAAATCTTGGCTGGGCACGTGGTGCACACCTGTAATCCCAGCTCTGTATTTGGGAGGCCAGATGGGAGGAGCCAAGTTTGAGACCAGCCTGGGCAACTTAGCAAGACCCTGCCTCCAAAAATACAAAGGGCTGGGGCTCTAGCTCAGGGGCAGAGCTCTTGCAAACAGCATAAGCCCCTTGCTTCCATTTCCAGTACCACAAAAAAATAGTCCTATAGGGCCCGATTTAGCTCAGTGGTTCCAGCACCTGCCACGCAAACGCAAGGTCCCAAGTTCAATCCCTGGTACCAAAAAAAGTCCTATGGGGTGTGGAAGTAGGAAATGTATAAAGGAAAGTAGTGCTTTACTGCTGCTAAAATGTATGATTTTTAAATTCTACAATGCCATCTTCCCCCCACCAAAAAATAGATCAGAATTTCCTTTTTTGTGCTGAGGATTGGACCCAGGGACTTCGCCCTTGGTGAGCACATGCTCTGCCCCCTGGATTTACGTCTAAGGTATTTGCACTCTGAATATATTCTTAGTCCAACAACACCACAATGGAGCAAAATAATTTTGATCTTTTAGAGCTGCTTTGACAACCCTTAGACACATTGTTTAAAATACTGTGATCTGTTGTTTCCCTACCTGCTGCCATGCTGAGTAGACAGTTGTTTCCCGGAAGTGGTGGGGGATTTTCGGTTCTAGCATCAGCACCCACATCGCCTCGCCTCCGAGGGGGCAGAGCCAGACTCTCCTGAGGTGGTCACTATTGGGGACACACAGTGATTGGAGGGAGCATCACTGACTCGGGGCAGAGGAAATCCTATGTCGATGCGGATCTTATGCTGATGAAGATCTTAGGTCGATGGTCTTATGGGATTTTGTTGTTTTTGTTTTTGTTTGGTTTTTTGAGGCAGAATCTCCCTTTGTGGTTCAGGCTGGCCCTGAACTCAACTATGTACCCCAGGCAGGCCTGATCCTCCTGCCTCAGCCCCAGCCCGAGTGCTGGGATTACAGGCTGGGATTACAGGCATGTGCCACCAAGTCCAGCTCAGGATCTTATGTTGATGAAGGCTGTAAGGAGAGCATTCTTACCATAGGTGAGATGGGTTAAGCTGATAAGGAATTTGTCCCTCCCCAGGGGAAACCTTTCTTACTACTGGTTCTCAAGAAACTGTGTTGTCTTTAGCTGATGTAATCTTGCCCTTGTGTATCACAGCATCACAGGACCATTGAGGTCTCAGCTGTGGCTGGAGGCAAAAATGGAGTTATGTCTGGACATGCCATAGCCAGCCTGTAGGCAGAAAAACTAGGCCTAATTGTGAAATGATTTTTCTCCAAAATTATGTAGAATGGCTCCAGATAAAGTTGGTATTAAACATTCCAGAAGAGGTGGTCTCCATGTGGCCCTCACTCTCCAGAGGCCCTGCACCCTTCCATGCCTATTACTATCCTGTCTGCTACTAACCAAATGCATTACCTTGAGATAAATAGAAACTGGCCATCTCCATACATGTTACCACCCGAGGAGTAACCCCCGTGTCACTCTAGAAGGTTCACGGAGCCAGCTGTCCACAAAGAAACTGGGGTGGGAGGCAGTGGAAGCCAGTAGTTTGACTCCACCTCATCAAGGCCGGGGAGTCTGTCTGTCTCCCCTGTACACTGCCCAGAATAGCCTCAGCACCCTGGAGTTTATGATCCTAGTGACCCAAGTAAACCTCCTGCAGCAGTAATCGTATCAGGTAAGTACTGTGTGGTCTTGGCAAATGTGGACGGCTCAGCTGGTTTCTCAGTAGTGATTCCAGCAACAGCCATGAATCCCAAAAAGATCTTGTCGGGACCATGGTGAGCCGTGCTGAGCCGTCTCTCACAGGACACGGAATTACCTAGGACAGTAGGCATTCAACCTGACCTGTAAGCATTTGTCTCCTGGCCTTTCAGTTCTCATCTTTACATCTTGGATATTTGCAAGGACTTGAGACTTTCAAATATCCCTCACTTGTCCTTTGGTTTCAGCCTCCCCACCTTTAAATCAAATTTCCATCAGGTCTTGAGTTTTGTGTTTTTTTGGTTATCGGGAACTGAACTCAGGACCTCGAACTTGCCAGGCAGGCGAGGTGCTGCTCAGCTACATCCCAATCTGAGTCTTGAGTTTTTGTATTTCACACAAGTAGTTCTTCCATCAGCTGGAGCTTCTGCAGAAGGTTCACCCAGAAAATTGCGATTATGATTGCAACAAATTCATACTCTTGTGGTTGTCTGTGTAAAGTACACTATGGCTAATTCATTTTACATCGTGGATCTGAGCTATCATTAAATTCACATGCTGTTCTTAAAATGTCAGCGGGGCAGAATGGGGTGGGGGCTGAGGGTTAAACCCAGGGTCTTGCTCATCCCAACCAGTTTAATTTTTTTTTTTTTTTTTGTAGTACTGGGGATTGAACACCTTGAACTCCAGACCTTGCGCTTTCAAGGCAGGTGGTGGAACCACTGAGCTAAATCCCCCACCCCGGTTTAAATTTTAAGACAGTGGAGCAGGCGTGGTGGTGCAGCCCCGTAATCCCACCACTTGGGAAGCTGAGGCAGGAAGACAACCATGAGTCTGAGGCAGCCTAGGCTACATAGTGA